CCTTAGTAATGGCGAAGGAACAGGGAAGGAAAGGGGGCGCCTTGTCGTGTGCTGCAGCGGAGTCTCGGCCAGAGAGGGAGCACCTGCGTCGGTGTGGCCGCTTTGGGCGGGGGTTGCCATGGGGCTCCCGAGCGAGGCTTCTCCTGCAGCGGTCTTGGCTCCGACCTCGGCCTCCGCTCCGCCTGGGAGTTTACCCCAGGCTGCCTCGCTCTTAGTGCCTCCGAGCCCCTTTTCTGAGGAGATCTCGGATGACGAGAGCGGCTCCGAGACCTCGCTGACGTCGCGCCCTGCCTCGAAAAAAGCGCAAGAGAGCGAACCCCGGACTTTGGGGGGTGATCCTACTTGCCCTGTTATCGAGGCTGACTCAACTCCTGGAAGAGTGGATGGATGAGGAGATGGCCTCCATGGAGAAGGAGCAGACGGAGCAGAAGGAGCAGGCAGAGCCGCCCGAGCAGCCACGGCCGAGTTCCTTTCCCAGACGCTGTCGGCGGCTTTTGGCAGGTCGGCGGAGGCCCCGCTGGAGACCTCCGAAGCGAAGAAATCTCAGCACAAGGCCAAGCCCAGGGCGGAATGCCAAGCAGTCCCTCCCTCCCTCCCTCCCTCGCTCCCTCGCTCTGTCTCTCTCTCTGTCTCTCTCTCTGCCTGTCTCTGTCTTTCTTTCAGCACTCGACGAGTGGAGTGCCTGGAAAGGCCCGGCCGAAGTTTCGACGCAGGCAGCTGCAAGCGTGGAGGCACCGCAGCAAAGCCATGGCGAGGACAGGGAGCAAGAAAATAGAACAATGACAATCATAATAATAGTACAGTAATAGTACAACAATAACAATAATAATAGTAATAACAATAAGAATTATATTAATATGAACAATACAGATAAAGATAAATATAAAGAAGAGGGCCGAGGGAGTGATCAGCTCTTGACGCTCCAAAGCCGCTGGGTGGCTTTGAGCTTCGATGGTCATATCGTCGATGGAGAGCGGTTGTTCCATTCGGAATGCATGGGTGCAGGCCTGCTAAAGCTTCTTTGAAGACTCGCATCGGCTGCTGGGGTCGATTTCCTTGATGCTCTGCCTCTTCAATTTAGGACCGGCGAAGACACTTCGTCATCCGTTGGTCTTTCCGTTTTCCCAAGCAATGCGTGCGCAAGTTCTTGGTGGTGGGGTGCTGTGAGACGGGGAGTCGGGAGGGTTTTCAGTTCCCAGTCTGGGTTGGCCTGGAGGACCTGGCCTCCCTCCCCTGGGAGCTTCTCTGGCGGAAGCTGGAGGCCCAAGGACGGGCTGCGGCTGCGCCCAAAGCGCACCCTCTCTCTCTCTCTCTCTGTTCGCTTTTTGGCCGCGCTGGAGCGGCTCTCTCTCACCGCATGCCGTCCGAAGGATGGCAGATCGAGCACGGCCCCCGTGGGAAGGGCCGCCAGGCCAGGACGTCTGGGAAGACGTGCGGGGGCCGATTTGTCAAGGGTCTCCTACTTCGGGAGCTTCTGGTGAGGCCTACTACTTGCCCCCCGGCGTCAAGCGTGGTCCAGGTGCACCGAGCGGCTTGTCTTGGGGGTCCCTTCTTGCGCAGCGTCGCAGGCAAGAAGAACCGGGTGGACTACTTCGACTCCCGGAAGCTGGTGTTGCAGCTGCTCTCTTGCAAAGATGGTCGAGGCGGCTTGTGGCCTCCATCGCTTTGAACTGCCTTCTCGCGTCTCCCCAACCCACTCGAAAACCTCAACGGTCCCCTGCCGAACAGAACTGAACAGAACAGAGTCCGAGGAAACCTCTAGAGAAGGGCGGAAAGGAACGTAAAGATGACATGCCCCGCCCTGAAGGCACGGAGGTAAGCGAAGCTGCAGAAGTGCCTGAGCAGTGAGGGGCCGACTTTGGTGAGCTGGGAGCAGCTGAGAGCAGCTGAGCAGCTCGTTAGTGGAATTGATCTCAGCCCGGACTGACAAAGTCCAAGGGCCCGGGCCTAGTTTGTATTTATGAACGGCCCACACAGATGCATGTCGATGTGCATGTGCTGCTGCAGGTCACCCGCAGTAGTCCAAGAGATGTGCAGCAAGAGACCCTGCTCTGCTCTGTTTGTGAGGGTGAACATGCGCGGCACGGTCTCACCGGTGCTTGAAGCTCATTCAGGCATCGTCGGGTCTGCACCTCCTCGGCTGTTTACGGCCACCGGGTGCGTTGAAGGGGCTTAGGACTAGGACTCTACGAAGGGGTCTCGGAGTCTTTCGGCGAAAAAACACCCCGACTGAAGGAAGTAGGAACCTGATCTAGGGAACCGAAAAATGGGGGAAAAATGCATAGTAAAACCTGGAGCCAGGGGTTTCCCAATCAGGTTCCTGGCTATTAGCAGTCTCTTTTCGCCTCGCCAACTCTGCCTCAAAAGGCGCCCTTCTTTCAGAGCAGCCGATGCCTCAGCGCTCTCCCTCTGTAGGCTCTGCCTCTCAGGGAGCGGGGAAATTTCGATGCGTCTCCTAAAAAAGCATTTGCCTCTCAGCAAAAAAGCAGCCCCCACACACAGAAAAGCACTCTGAGCAGTCGAAACCCAACCCACAGTAGCAGCCAATGACAACGACGAGTGCACGATCACCATCAACACCAAGATCATCATACCCGTATTGCTCACCATTGTCGTAGCGACGCCGCTCGGCATCGCAAGAGCAGGAGTCATGCGACCTTCGCGACAACAGGTAGCACAAGCTATAGCATCTCTCCCCCAGCTCCCCCTCAGGGCGAATCTCGTCTCATCGTCGGGTCTAACCATCGCATGGCGCAGAGCTAGCTGGGGTGTCCAGTTCTGGCTTCTTCAGGCCTGGGCCTGAAGTTTGAAAGTCTTATTGTTTCGGGGTGCTACGGGCAGCGGCCCTTGGGTTTTTGGGGTGTTTCGGGCTTAAGGGCTAAGTTGGGGGGGATTTGTGAGTGTTCTGGCTTCTGTCTGTTTCGGGCGGTCCAGGGGTGGCCTTTTCTGCAAGTCTTTCGGCGGAGGCCCCCTTTTGCCAGCTCCTCCCCTTTCTGGCTGAGCTGTCGCCATGCCGAACAAGAAGACGCCGCTGACTCGGGGGGTTCTCTTCTTGCTAAACATCACTCGGTGAGTAGCAGCCCATCGCCTTTCTAGGAAAGGCTATACAGCCGAGCCCACGCGCAGCGAAGCGCATCCCTCGCTGCGCGTGGACTTTCATCTGAGGGTGCATGCTTGTCACTGTCACAGCCCAACCCGATTAGCTTCAGACGTCGGTGTGGCCAGCACGGAAGATCGACAACACGAGAAGGACTAGAGGTCCGTGTAGGCGAAGCTCTTGGGAGGAAGAGCCTGTTGGTTGTAGTACTCTGTCATCTCCGAGCCACGTAAGAAGAAGGCTTCCGGGACCAGGACGGTAGGAGACGAAGTTTCGCCAAAGCCCTGGTCTCATGCAAAACGAACACGGATGCCGGTCGTCGGCCGGGCTTAGGGGTTTCTTGAGAGATCTCTTGTCGTAGAGTCGTAGAGACACCGTCGGACGCGAGCCCCGATGTCTGCTTTTGGACGTCCCAGGAAGAAGGGCAAAGATCGCCTGGATAAGCCCCGGCCCAAGATCAGCAGGGACGCCGCTGCGGCTGCCCTAAATCCTACACCCTGAACCCGCCTGAACCCTAAACCCTTAAACCCTTAAACCCCTAAACCCCTAAACCCCAAACCCTTAAAGCAACCCTAAAACCCCTAAACCGACTGTCTTGCGCGATCTGCAAACCACGGAGCCTTCCGCTCCCAGGTTCTACCACTTGGCCAAGGACCAGGGCTATCGGGCGCGCTCTGCCTTCAAGCTCATCCAGCTGGCCGGGATCTGACAAAGCTTTTTAGGGTTCAGGGTTTAGGGTTTTAGGGTTGAGGGTTTTTAGGGTTTAAGTTTTTTAGGGTTTAGGGTTTAGAAAAACCGTCGGGAGCGGTTTTGGAGCATCCTTCAGAGAGAGTCCCCCCCTTCTCCCTGGTGTGTGTTCTGGTTCCTTTCCGATGGAAATGCCCCTAGCCACGAGGCTAAGAAGTTCGACTTCCTGTCCAAGTCCCGGGCGCGGAGCTCGATATCTATCTGCACCCAAAAAAACACCCCAAAAAGGGGCCATTGGGGGGCCTTGGAAGAAAGCCAAAAAAGCAGGGAGCGCATATGTGTCCCGGGCTCATAAGGTCTGCCTGGACCTCTGCGCGGCCCCCGGCGGCTGGTCGCAGGTCGCGCAGCGGAACATGCCCGCCTGGCTCCCAAGGGAGGTTTTTGGGAGGGCTCATCATTAATTTAAATATTAAAGAATTCATATGAATAGTACTATAATATTAAGATTTTTGAGAGCCGAGAGGATGAGAGGAAGGGGGTGACCTGAGGCCTTAGTCATCCCAGCATCGCCTCTTATGCCCATCGCCCATCCTCATGGCTCTGAGCTAGTAAAGTGTGTCTCCAGGTGGGTTCGCAGATCATCGCCATCGACTTGGCCCGGAGCCCTGCTGTGGAGCTCGCATTGCTGTGGAGAGCTCCCGTCCTCGGCCGAGGCTCCCATTAAGCCCATGCCCGGCGTGACCTGCATACAATCGGACATCACCACGGAGAAGCCGGGGGGCCTTTGTTCTTTTGTTTTGGGAAAAGGTTTCTGAGAGAGTGAGATCCGTGGCTCTTCTTCTTCTCCCCTAAAACCCTAAAACCCTAAAACCCTAAAACCGTGGCTCCCCGTGGCTCGAATCAGGTGCCGGAGCTTGGTCCGCAAGGAGCTGAGAGGCGGCCGGGCCGACGTGGTCCTCCACGACGGAGCGCCCAACGTAGGCGCGCACTGCTCTTCACACACCCGAGACAGGGGGGGGAGGGGGAATTTTGGGGGGGGAGGGAGATATAATTTAATATAATGTGATAAAAATATACTATAATATAGTATTACTATATACTATAATCTAATATAATAGGATGGACCTTTTTTTTTTCGGAGCCGGAGCCTCCAAAGCTCGCTCAAGGCAGCACCTGGTCCAAGGACGCCTTCAGCCAAGCGGAGTCCCTTGGCCTTCTCCACAAAGCGTCTCCTCACATTTCCCTCTTTGAGCACGTCCCTCATCCCATCTCATCTCTCTATCTCCGCTTTGAGAGCGACTGCTGATTGATTTGGAGAAATCTTGACGAAGACGTGCTGAAAACCGCGGCCCTGCCTAGTTTTTCCCTGAGGCTCACGCTGCACTCGCTGCGCCTCGCCTGCCAGGGCCCCAGGGCCCCAGGCCGTCTCCAAAAAGAGGCGGTCGCGAAGAGGGCCGTCGCTCTGCAGCCGAGGCGACTTCCTGAAAGCCGGCGGCACCTTCGTGACGAAGGCGCCGCGTGCACGCGCGCCGAGCTGTCTGGCTGAGTCAGCAACCGCACATCTTCACAACACAACATCCAGCTGACACGTAATGTAACATCACATCCGTGAGTGCGCGAGCACTTTCTCAGTGTGCGCGTGCGTGCGTGCGCCGATGTCGTCTCTTTTCTGCGTGAGCCGATGGCGGCCCGTGTGAGAGGTCTTCCGATCGGCCGACTACAACTCCCTGCTTTGGGTCTTCAACCAGCTCTTTAACAAGGCAAGAGAGATGTCGTTCTCTTGGGCTCTGCAAAAGCTGGGGGCGAGGCTGAGGCGTTTTTTTTTTTCGCAGGTGGATGCCACGAAGCCCACGGCGTCGCGGAACGTCTCCGCCGAGATCTTCGTGATGTGCATCGGCGCGGAGCCGTAGTTTTCAGGGCTCTTCAGGAGCTTCTGGAAGGGTGGCCTTCGGAAGGATGGGGGCGCGCCGTGCTGAGCTGAGGCTTCAAGGCGGGCAAGATCGACCCGCGCTTCTTCGACACCAAGCCCGAGACCCGAGTTGCGGCAGACAGGGCAGACAGGGCAGAGAAAAGGACATCGGCAGAGACAGGGAGACATGGAGATCATGGAGAGTGAAGCAACAGCGAAGAGGACGAACTTGTTGGGACGATGAGGAAGTTTGGACCTCTTTCGTGTTGCAGATCGGCCGGGGACATTGCGTTGAAGTTTGGCAGGTGCAAATATTGAGGGACTTTTGTCCTTCTATCTGCTTCCTCCTCCGCTGCTTCCTCCTTGTATTGTCTTATGCTGTATTATTGCCACTTGTACCCAATCTTACGTCTTCTTGACGCCGCGTGGCCACGTCATAAGCGTAGCGTCGTAGCCGGTGCAAGTTACGAAGCATGGTCCATGTTGCAATGGTCGAGTTTGCGGGTTACTGTGATGCAGCTCTCAAGATGCCCTGTGTCAGTTTGGGCCACGGACATGGCATGTGTGTTAGGAAGCTGACTACGCTTGGACCCCCCTTCGCGTTGCAGGTTCCGCGCGGCATGTTTTCTCTTGGGCGCTCATGCTTGAAGCAGTGTGGGCTTGCAGCATTGCGTAGGTTTTGGGAAGCGGAAACATGGGACTGTTCGTGTTGCAGCTCGGGACCGGGGACACTGCGTGTTGCATTGGGATGCTGACAAGTCCGACCCCTTTCGGTGGCATCGTGCTTCTGGGATTGATTGCTTTCGTTACCTTGCGTGGGCCCGGGGGGACGCTGCGTGAGTGTTGGGGCCCTGAAAAGCTTGGCCCCCTTGCGTGCTGCGGTTTGTGCCTCCTTCCTGACACCTTCGCCAACAGGTTTATCTTTTTGGTTTTTGAAAGGTTGTTTAGGGGTGTTATGTGTGTCGAGAGCTTTGGGGTTTCAGGCAGTTCTTAAAGCTTCCACATCGAATCGCACTTCAAATCAACACCTCCACCCAATTCTCTGGCGCCGCCGCTTCCGGCGCTGAGCTTCCCAAAGGCTCAGGACTCATGAGCTTCTAAGAGGATTTCGTAGTGGAATGCATCGTCAATTCAAACTGGGCTTGGTGGGGAAGGGAGTATACCAGAGAATACTGAATCTTGTTGGAAAGGGTCCGTCTACAGCCTAGAAAACCCTAAGGAACCTTTCGGGATCGAGTATGAGGCCACATTTCGGAAGGACGCGATAAACCATTCACTAGGCACCATGGCTTTGACGCCTTCTGTGTTGCGGTTTGGGCCGGGAACTTCGCATGTGTTTCGCGAAGTTGAAGAGTTCGAGCTATTTCGTCTTGCCATTTGGGCCAGAGGATAGCCGCCTGCAGTGGCTGAGGCCTTTGCGCGCCACGGACTCCCCCCGTCATGCTCGACTTCGGTGGAGTTTTGCTAATCTGCCGACACAACGCTCGCTAAATGATGCAACAATGACAAAAACGCCAGAGCTGATCAAAGAACGAGTGCGTTTGAAGCAACAAAGCCATCACTGATCAAAGAACTTGGAACTTGGAAGTTGACAAAGGTGGGTCTTCATGGAGAACTTGGAGCCGCTGGCCAAAGACGAAGGATGCAAAGCGAGTTTAGCGGCTTCAGAGTTTGTTTTTGGAGTTGTCTGTGTCGAGGAGTCAAGAAACCCGGTGCCTCGCTCACGGAGTATTTCAAGCAGCTGAAAAAGCGGAGAGCTCGGAGCTGCCATCGCCGACGGTAAGGAGCCAATTCCACAAATATCTTTCAGGAAGCATCGGGGTGGCTACGAGGAGGCCCAAGCCTCAATGCTCAAACTCAGCCTCCACAACAAGTTGTAGCCCTCAGGGGGACGACCGGCGCATCGTTCCAGCACACGAGTTCGTGGCTGCTGAAAACCCGGTGCCTGCCTCGGAAAGTAGGCTTCTGTAAGCTTCTGAAGTGTTGCATAGTGGACAAGAGCTGCGAGCATAGGAGCAGAAACGACGTGTCGGCGTGGGGCTGGTATCAGCGTGAGTAGCGAGGCCGAGATCCTGATTAAAGCGCACCAGCTCAACTTGGACGCCGCTCGGCCGCACCAAGCAGCGCTGTGGGCTTTCCCGCGGAGCCAGCGCTTAGAGGCCCCCGGCTCCGAGCCGCTCCGAGGCCATCCGCCAGGGCCCCGGAGAGCGCCGAAAAGAGAGACTGCAAGAAGCCGAGAGAAGAGCGCAGCGAAGAGCGCCGCCTGCGCGGTGCAGCGGCGGCCCGGCCTTGTGCTGCCAAAACAAAGGCTCACCACGCAGGAGATCCGGGACTTCTGCGGCGACCTCAAGGCCCCGGGGGAAGAAAGAGAAGAGAAGCGCTCGGAGAGCGCATGCGCGCCGTGCGGTGCCAGGTCCTGGGGAAGGGGGACCTGGCGCAGCTGCTGAATTGGCGCGCGAAGCTGCTCCGGGAGCCCGGGCCTCGCCGTAGCGCTCGCTCTCTCTCATCCTCTCTCCCTCCCTTGAAGTATTTTTGAGTGGGCCTCTCTTATTTTGGCGTTCTTTCTAAAGCCCCTTGAGCTGTGCAGGCAAGAGAAGAAGGAGCGAGAGGCGCGCGCCGCCTCTTCAGCGGCTGCAGCGGCGCCCAGAAATCCAACGTGCTCGCACTTGGGAAGGCAGAGAAGAAGGCCAAGGAGGATCCGAGCACTTTGGTGCGCGGCCCTTCCCCCCCCCTCCCTCGCGTGACTCTGGGAGTCTCTCTCTGACTTCGAAAAAAACCGAGCCCCCCCGTTGCGCAGGCGCTCCGGGCCAGAGCCAAGGCCCAGGCCACGCAGGCTGCGCTCCAGAGAGCCTCTTAGAAGGAAAGAGAGTGGCTCTTCTCAGAGCGGCCAGGCTGCAGCCAAGAAGGCCGTGGATCGCCGGGGGCACCCAGAGCTTTGTAGAGCAGATGCGGGGGCATCTGCTGACACAGACACGCACGCACACGTTCAGTTGCCTCGAGGGGGCCTGGCAGCGGACGTGGACGATGCCATCTCCAAGTTCCTCGATGGCGAGGATGCAGAGCTGAAAGGCCCAACAAGAAGGAGAGTTGGTCCCATATTTGTTTAAACGGTTTGCTTCGTGAGAGTTGTTCTCCCACAGGTGCAGCCGCAGCGGCGGAGGAGGCTAGCACTGAGGATGAGGAGGCGCCAGTGCTTTTGGACGCAACTTCTGGGACGTTTGCGCTTGCCACTCAGCCGGCTCAAGCCTGGCCCAGTTGTGATTGGGGCTTTTTTGACACGACGGTCTCCACAAATGCATGGGATGAGGGAGGCTTTCGCCGGGAAGGCAGAAGGAGCAAGCAGGAGCAAACTGCGTTCCTTTTGGCCATGCAGCAAAGAGCGTCATCACAAAATGAGAAGCTTTCAGCCCGCAAGGCCACTTCGACAAGTGCCAACTCACATGCCAGGGGGAAGTGGCTCACGATTGGCGCCGATCCCTGAAGCGATCCCTGAAGAAGGTGCCGATGTTGCGGAGACGAAGCGGGTCCGCCGCAACGCCGGAAGCACCTCCAGCCGGCAGCGATGCACCGAGCGGGTCCGCCGCCAGTGAAGAAAGACAGCGCCGCCAGAAGAGCCAGCCTTGGCAGACCCACGAGCTTGGGCTACGGCCCTCTGGGAACATCGACATGGAATGCCAAAGGGCACCCATGCGGCATGGGCAGGATTGGAAAGGGAAGTGATAAGACTCCCGGACTCCCGGATGTGACAAGGCCAATGGGCGAGAACCTCGATGCACAGTGCGCGTAATGCGAAATGCGACAGTCTGGTCTGTTTGTAGCCCTTGGATGTGTGCTTTGCGACACGTCTTGTTCTGCATCTTCCTGCAGACTGCAGACATAGATTCCTTTCTGGATTGCTGTACACAGGCTGTGCGCCGGAGTTCAATTTGTCAATGCCGCAGCGCCGGGAGGAAGACGATCGGCTGGAGCAGCAGCTCAAAGACCAGATCGACAAGCGCCGCAAAGAAGACCGCCCTGGCCTTGGCCTGCGTAGTACTGCGTAGCGGCAGCCTTCTTGTCCTTAGCTTGGCTTATAGCCGGCCGATTCGCCACTGAACCGGAGGCAAGGAAGCAAAGAGGATGATGGATCGGCAGCGGAAGCAGGCGCCGCCCCACGGCCACGCCGGTATACCGTCCCGTTCCGTCCCGTTCCGCTCTTACCGTCGATTCCGTTCGCAGACGGCGCAGGAGTGGCGGAAGAAGATGAGTCTGGCAACCGGCCGCGGAGCGTGGCCCTTGGCTGTTGAAGGGATACCCTCCCAAAAATGCGGGGGGTGGGGTACTTGGGAGGGGGTCTGTGTTGCGGTCCTGCGCTTTTATGTGCCGAGACCCCCGACGATGCCTCCGAGCTCTTCAAAGTCACGGACAGGTCTGTGCAGGCCTTGCGCGGTTTTTGAACCCCCCCAAACACCCCCCCCCCTCTCCGAACGAAGTACCCCCATGAGTCATCCAAAAGCAAACAAGAGAGGATTTTCCCGCTAAATGCCAAGCCATCACAGTTGTGTCTGAGCCTCTTGCCTGGGGAGGCTCTGCAGGAGGACTCGGCGCTCCCCGAGGATTGCATCAGCGAGGTGCTCCGAGCCCCAAAGCACATCCTCAACCTTCTGCTCTGCTGCAAGAACAGCTCACCCCCATGACACTCTGCACGCCTGAGCCGAGTGCGACGTTCAAAGCAACGACAGTTGAGCCTGAGCATCAATCGAATCCCAGGGTTAGAGAGCACTGAGAACGAGAGCACGACAAACGGGAAACCACCGAAGTACGCGCTCTCCTGATGTGCGACAGCTCCGCCCAAGAAGAAGCAGCATTGCACGACGAAGCTCCCAACGTCCTTCAACTCTTCCCACGAGATTCTCAAGCCAGCAAACGAGTTCATCCCCTACACTTTCTTAGCGACGCGATGAGATTCCCACCATGTCCATTTGTTCCGACCCTGATGTTGAAAAGCTCAGCCTGCCTCTGCCTGCAGCTTCCTGGATGCGCTTCCTGAGCCCCATAACCGTGAAGAACCCCATAAAAGCTTTCCTGCTCTGAACCGCAACACAAAGTGTTAAACCCAGAAGCCCCCTCTAAAGCCCCCTTTACATCTCTGAGAGAGAACACGAACGAACACACACACACACACACACACAGAGACAGACACACACTTCTTTTTCAGGATCTCTCCGATGAGCCCAAGGAGCTCCAAGAGAGCTCCGACTCCGAAGCCGACGACCAGTGGGGGGGCCTGGGCTTGGGCCTTCTATTTTGCTTGGGTTTCGGGTTTAGGGTTTGCAGGTTGTTTTGGGGGTTTCGTGGGTTTTAGGAGAGAAGGCCTGCTCTGCGGGTTCTGGCTGGTTTTTTGGGCCCCGCTGTTCGGCGGGTCGTGGGTTGGTTTCTTGCGTCGATCGTGCAGAGGAGCTCTGAGAGGCTGTCTAAGCCCAAGATGGAAAGAGAGCGCCGCGCCGAGGATGGACCGGCTGGCGCGGATGGAGGTGGACTTGGCCCAGGGCTCAGGAGCGCTTCTGGCCCCAGCTGGGGGGCTTTGTTTAGGGCTTTTAGGGCTTTTAGGGCTTTTGGGGTTTTTAGGGATTAGGGTTCTCAGGGCTTAGGGTTTAGGGCTTTTAGGGTTTAGGGGACAGAGCCCTTCACTTCGGGGTTTTTAATCGCAGCTCGTGCCTTTTGAAGGTGCTTCGAAGCTCACACGGGTCCTTCTCTTCCTCCCCGGTCCTCCCCCCTTTCCCCGGGTCCTTTCCCGGGTGCTTTTCTGAGGCCTTGGACCATGAGCTCCGGAAGGCCGAGCTCACCCACAAGCCGCCTGGCCTCAGAGTCTCCGCCTTTTTTTGGCCCTCACCATCTTTAGATATTCGGGGCTTAGGGTGCTTATAGGGTTTATGGGGGGGTTTAGGGCCCTAAAGGGCCAGCATCCTCAGCATCATTGCATCCTCAGCTTCTGCGATGTTCCCGTCTCGAGTCCTCATCATGGGTACAGTCTTGGCTTTTCGATCCTTCCGTCTCCTTCTTGCCGTCAGATCTCTTTTAAATCTTGCTGACCGGCCGTGTGGAAGGCATCGCAACTCCACGCAGCGGGCCGCGCGAAAGAAGAAGGAGACCCGACGGCAGCGCGTGATGCAGGCAGGAGAAGCTCCGTGACGAGGTTGCAACATGCCTGGAGGCTCTATAGGTTTTCCACCGCAAATATTTTCGATCCTTCTATCAGCACGTTAAAGCTGTTTTTCTCTAACATCTTAGGGCCGGGACCCTTAGATGACCCTTGCGAAGCTCCTGGGGAGGCTTGGGCCGGTGAGCTCACGGCCTTCAACGAAGCCTTGCAGGGCGAGGCCAAGGCCCAGGCAGGGCGAGCGGAAACCGCGGCGTTGAGAGCGGCCTTTTTGGGTCCTCCGACGGCGCACGGCTCAGGCGCTGGAGAACGCAGACCAGGATGCCGTGGAAGATGGCTCGGACAGCGAGGAGGACTTGAAGGCCACGGCTTCTTGGGGCGTTTTGGTTGCGGGGCCTGTCTTTTGTCGACGAAGGCTCTCCGGGACTTTCAAGCAAAGCTGGAGAAGGCGGAGGACAGCGACGCAGAGGGTCGGGGCCCGAAGCGCTAGGGGATGCTCTGAGAGGTGGGATGGAGGGAAGTTTTGAACCCAGTCGAGGCTTGGATGCCGATGCCCTTGCGGCACTTGCCGAGGGTGCCCCGCGCGGTTCTGACTTGAGCTGCGGTGTTGAGGGGACACGTCGAGAGGTCCAGATGGGGAGGAGGAGGCCAGCGAAAAGCCGGTGGAAGACTTTCAAGGCCCTGCGGCCCGGGCTTCCGCTCCCCTTGCATCTTCAGTGAAGCGGATGGCAGGATCCGCTCCTCGCAAGAAGGAGGCCAAGGAGAAGCTTCAGAAGGACCGACGACAGCTGCAAGCAAGACGGTTCTGGATGAAAAAACGGCCCTTGCAGCAGGGCCGCGAGCAGCGCTCGGAAGGCCGCGACCTGGCTTTGGAGGACGGGGCCGGCGAGACCGCCCTCGTCCCGCACTCGATGCGTGCGAAGCGGCAAAAAAGCGGCGAAGCGGCGAAGCGATCCGAGAACTGTCAGGTCCCCGTGGACGAGGAGGAGGTGACTCGCGGCGAGCATCGGGCCTTCCGTTGGTTTAGTTGGCACCTGAGAGCCCACGAGATGCCGCCTTTCTGGGCCCCCGGCCCCGTCTCTGCAGGCCAGGACATCTTCTCGGGCCTCAGCGCGAAGCCTCGAGGAGCCAACGCAGAGAGGGAGAGGGGTTGCCTTCCCCCCGAAAGGTGCCAGAAGGGTTTGGGGGGCCGCCCCTTAAACCCTAAGGAAGAGAAGACTGAGGAAGCGAGAGGATCGGAGAGGGGGGGTCCTTTGCTGCTTTCTTCGCAGCCGCCTGAGGAGCTCAGGAGTTGGATGAGGCGCCGCCGAGCGGCCGGCGAGTTGTGTTTCGCCTGGCTGCACACACTGCGAAGCCCCCCGTTTCCTCTGCATCTTATATTATGCCTTTTGTGAAAAATACACCGGGCTCGAGGGAAGGACCTTTTCTTTTACGCTTCTTGCAGCCCGCTATATAGCGCCGACGACGACTTCCTCTGATGCTGCTGCTCCGGCTGCTCCTGGCGGCGGCGCTCGCTTGGCGCTGCCTCCTTGCGGCCCCGGTGAGCTTCAAGGTTGGTTTCGGGCCTCAGGCCGTGGCTTCCGTGGGGCCGCATCTTGCTGGGAGCTTTCAAGGCTGGGACCCAGCAACGACAAGTCTCGCAGATGGGGATATGGATGGGATTTACGAGGTGACCCTGGACTTGGCTCCTGGCTCCTACGAGTTCAAGTTCCTGAACGGCAACTCATGGGACCAGGCAGAAGCCGTGCCATCCAGCTGCAGCGAGGCTACCAGCGGCATGATGAACCGACTTGTCGTCGTGGAAGACGCCGACGCACCGCTGGAAGTGCACGTCTGCTTCCAGGAATGTCTGCCCTGCGCTGCACTGCCGGCTTGCAAGATGTTCAACTGCCCACCTGGCCTCGTGCTCCAGGGAAGCCGGCTGGACGTGCCCGGAGCATCCGCCGCCTGCTGTGAGACGGTGGAGGAAGGGAAGGGCGCCCTTGTTGTGCGCAGCTCGGCTTTCTCCGATGGAAATTGGGCAGAATTCTGGATGAAGGGAGCGCTGCTCTACGGCACCGGCACCCGTGGCCTGACGGTTCTGGAGCTGGAAGATGACCTGGTGAAGCATGCGGAAACCTTTGACACCTACCTCAGCTCCAGCTCCTTGGAAGGCTACTTGTCCTCGGTGACGCCCGGGAACTTGGTCTTGATGGCTATCGTCGATGAGGGCTCCGCGCAGCTGAGTGTTGCGGCGGAGGCCTTGATCGCCGGCTGCGGAGCCCAAAAGATCGAGGACGTCGCTTTCAGGAGCTCTTACGCACTCATCGGCAGGAAAGGTGGGGAAGCGCTCTCAGAGGTGGTCCTGCCGGAATTCGCCGGGACGAGTGTTGCAGTTGCTCAGGTGACATTGCAAACCACCACGACGACAACTCTAGCCCCATCGCCAGTATCACCAGTTGCCTTCTGCGACATGAAAGTGGCAGAACCTCCCATGTCGGGCAGCTTGGCATTGGATGGCAACTTGGAGCTGGACGCTGGATGCCGGTTCCGCGTCTGGGAAAGCCCGGGGATCGCCAGCTGTCTAGCTGGGACCTGGGTGGTGGTCACTGGCTCCTCCAACGCCCTCTTGATCTTCAACACACTCTTAATGCTGCTTGCTCCAGCGGAGGCGGATGTCCAGCGAAGCGGCCGCTTCGGGGGTGCGCATCTCCTGGATGCGGTGGTGGAAGATGGCCAGATCATCCATTATCGAACGGTGCGATCCTCAGAAGCTTCCTGCATCCAGAGCACTCCGACGGGTGGCCAGAACGAGACCGAGTGCAAGCGCCTCTATGCCAAGGCCTTGAAGGAGGCTCCCCAGCCCAATGGCAGAAGGGTCCGAGTCACCATGTTCCTCTCCTTCTTTTGGGCCAGGACCGGCACGGCGGTGGATCTCATTGAAGGTGATGAAACCTGGGCCGGTGCTGATGTGGCGATGGTCGTGCAGGTCGTGGCCTGGTACGTGGTCTGCAATGGCATCAAGTTCACAGGATGCCCACGCAGCAACCTTATAGACATGGAGGAAGGGCTGGTGAAGTCCATGTTCGTGGCAGAGATGGGGGCCGTGCTGGATCGAATGACGCCCTTCTGCGCACCGGGGGGTCGTGCCGGACAGCGGGGATGTGCCGTTGCCACGAACTCTTGGAGTGATCCAGGCCCCAGATTGATGGCGATGTTCCAAGGTTACAACAGCGAGGTCGTTGAGGCCATGCGACCGCTGCGTTCTGCGACCTTCCGTTCCGTGGACATCTTCGCGCTGGGGGGCTCCATGCCCGGTGAGACGTTCCAGGGCCACGGGAGTCAGATTTTGCACATTTGGACCTGGCAGGCTTTGCTGGGAGGCTTCTGCTCGGCTGCCTCGGCCACGCCTGGAAGCCAGATTCAGTTCCAGGGGCCCGTTTGCTGGAGACGAGACGCAAGCCTGGACTCCTGTACTGCTTACACCAGAACGGTCCTGTGGCAGTGCATGAACAGCATGCTCTGCAGCCACCGGCTGCTGGACAAGCCCGAAACTACCACGACGACTACGACGACTACGACGACTACGACAGAGGGGAATGGGAAGGTCTTCCTTCCAGTCGATGGGGGTGACAACCGTGCTTGCCGTGGGCAGGCGCCGGGTGACAACAGTGCCAGTTACTACACCGTGGTCTCCGGCATAACTTCTCTCGCCGCCTGCCAGGATGAGTGCATCCGCTCTGAGGCCTGCGTTGGCATCGAGCACAGCGGCTCCCGCTGCGAAGTCTGGACACGCGCAGCTGGCATTGGAGCCTCCATTCACCTGGCGGGTTTCACGTGCCTCAGCTACGGATCAAGTGTCACGACGACGACCAGCTCGCCCAACAACCTCTCCTCTCTCTTCGAGCCTGTGGACGGTGGAGTAGGCCGTGCCTGCCGCGGGGCCTCCGTCGCCGACAATGCTCCCAACAACTACGTGGTGGTTCCAGGTGTGCTGAACCTGGCCGATTGTCAGTACGAGTGCACAGAGGTAGCTGCGTGCGTCGGGGTGGAGTACAGCCTGGGCAGATGTGAGGTCTGGACCCGTCCAGAGGGGATTCAGGCCAGCTTGGCACTGAGCGGCTTCACCTGTCAGCGTCTGTCCTCAGCCCGCCGTCGCCTGGAAAGTGTCCTTTTTCCCTGACTTGTGGATGCGCTTTTTGTAGTCTCAAATTGCGGCAGAAGGAGGAACTCCTTCGCCTGAGCTCGCCGCCGAAGGTGGCGTGCATAAACCAGCTTTCCGGCCCCTGCCAGAAACACGACACGAACCAGAGAGTCATTTATGATAGTGAGAGTCTGATAGAGATCTGCGCGACGGAGTTCCTCGGCAGTGGCCACGCCTCTCGTTCGCACACACATCTCTCTCTCTCTCTCTCTTTTTTGTCTCAGCCACAAAAGGAGGGCCGAGCCCTGTTGGCAAGCGATGCTCAATCGCCTGGCACGGGTCCCTTTGCATGGGCACCAAGATCCCATGGTTGCGTTTCCGGCACCGGAACACAATGCCCTTTTCTGTGCTTCGTGAGGGTCACCTTACAGACCCCGCCTTGGATCGCTAGAGATTCTGCGGGCGGCCTTCAGTCTATACAGGGAGCTGTGACACGGGGACTGCCAGAAGTGGGTCTCCAGCTCGCAGGGCTTTCCAGAAAACAGGCCGAGGGCGCGTGCGGGCTCACCAAGTAGCTCGAGCGCCGAGACCGAACCTCACGAGCAAGCCGTACAAAAGCCGCTTTTTAAAATATAAGGCCCTATAAGAAGGGCCGCCAAGAGAGAGACCTGAGAGAGATGTCTGGTCTTCGATGAGCTCCGGGCGCGAGGCTGGCGAGGCGGGCTCGGGCTCCGAGGGCGAGGGCGGCCAGGTGGGGGGCTCAGAGCCCGCTCGCGGAGCCAACACTCGCCCTCCCTTTCCGTTTCTTTTCGTGTCAGATGCGGGAGCTCAGCGACGCGCAGCTCCCGAAGCTGCCGCTCGGCCAGAGAGCCCTTTTCCCGCTGCGCACGTTCTTACATACCTGCTAAAGCGCCCCTCTTTTCTTCTCCAGGCCACTTACCGACAAGGCAAGAAATTCAGTGTTTATAGCCTGAGGTGAGGAGAGAGAGGCTCCGCTCTGCTTTCTTTCTCAGGAGAAGCGAAGGATCAAGCGGAAGAAGGACCTGGAGCGCCTGGAAAAGCCGATGCCTCCAGAAGTCTGCAATGAGGGCTTCCTTTAAGGCCTCTCTTCTCCTTCCTCTTTCCGGTTCCGAGGCTTGGGATCAAGCCCAAGAGTAAGCAGAAGGAGGAGGAGAAGGGCAGCCTGGAGGCAGACGCAGCAGCCAGGTCTTAGGGCCGAAGGGGGGGGATCGCCTTTTGCCGGGACCCGAAAGGTCGCTCCCCTGGAGGCTCCCAAGTCGCCGGTGCCCGAGCTCGCTGGGGGAGACTTTCCGGAGAGAGAAACAGCCCCTTCGCCCCCTTTTTGTTGGGTGGATCGCAAAAAGGATCGTGTCCACCGGCCCGACCAAGCCTTCGGACCCCCGGGAGCTCGCCGGGGACCCCAGAAAGGGAGCCAAAGAGAGGGGAAAGAACGAGAAAACAAAAGCCCCACAGAAAAAGAGGCCGAGACCATGGCGCTGGGCTCTTTGTTGGTGGAGTCCAAGAAGTCCAGGCCAGGCTCGTCCGAGGCGCTCTGCTCGGCTGCACTGCCTTTTTTCCCTTGCGTTGCGGGCCTTAGGATGGAGCTGCTGGACGCCGCCTACAATCGCCCCTTTTTAGCCTTTGAAATGCCCCCTTTTTTTGGGGAGAACATCGGAAAAAAAGGGGACCGGGGCCGCTTCTGTGCCGAAAAGAGCCGAGGCTGGACCTTCGATCCCAACGAGGCCTTACCGGTCTGGTTCACGGAGGAGGAGGAGAAGTACAACAAGTCCCGCGGCCAAAAGGCATGTTCTTCCGTGAAGCTTGAAGGGCTAAATAGACTAAACCCTAATAAACCCCCAAAAAACCCCTTCCATGAAGCTTCAAGCGATCTTGAAGGACGAAGAAGGAGAGAGGTACTTAGGGAGAGCATCTTGTGCAAGCCTTTCCCAGGCCGGAGCTGCCAATCTCCAAGGAGGCCATGGCCCAGCCAAGGGACCCAGGAAGAAAAGTCTATACGCTGCTCTTTTAGCGCTGAAAAGCAGCCCGTCGCTATAAGACTCGAATAAATTGAGCTCTTTTTTTTTTTGGTTCCCCAGGTTCCGGGCCAAGCTGCGGGAGATCAACGCCAGGCAGGGGGCCGCGCCGGCTGTCTCTGTCGCCGTGGCACCTCCCTGGCTCCGAGGCCCATCCGAAAGGTCGCCGAGGCGCCTCGGCCACAAAAGCGTGGGCAAAAAAGCTCGTTTTTGTGGGCGCTTTTGGAGCTGCCTTTATGCAGAGGCACGGGCTCGGAAGAAGCGGCGCCTGGCCAAAAAGCTCGAGAAGCCTGGAGCCCCGGCATCCCCGGCCCTCGCCTCTCCTCGCCCTCCGGCTTCTCCTCTTCTTTTTGGGGCGCCCTCCCGCCCTCTCTGCTGCGCCCTCCTCCCTTTTTGAGGCTGCGCTCCACGGCCATGCCCGGGCCCCTCAGAGAGACTTTCTACTTTCTCTCTCGGCCAAAAGACTAAGAGAGGCCCTTCTTCTTTGAACACATTCCCCGCTGCCTCTCACAGGGCTTTGTCTGAGACCACCGACATGAGCGAGACGGCCAAGGCAGCGCCAGTCGCCTTTCTGCAGCTTTCTGTCGCCCTGGTGGCGCCTAGTGCAGTGCAGGCGCGGCAGATGCGGAAGGCGGTGAACAAGCTCGTCGGCTCCTCAGGGTGTCGCATCAAAGGTGCACCTGATGTCGCTGCGCAGCCTTACGTCCTATAACACTTGGTTCGAGAAAGGACCAGGTACGGAACCGATGGACGCAGTTTGATCCACAAGTCATGGTGAGAAGTGTTACAAGTATATGCACCTATGTAGCCTTCCAGCCTTGCACAGGCACGCCCGAGTTCATGCTTCGCAGTAAAGTAAGTCGTCAGTCTGAGTTGCAACAAGAGTCCAGCAGTCGAGGCCAAGCAGGACCAGCGAAAGGTCACGACGGTGGCCATCAAGAAGGGAGGAGGAGGACACAAACTGGACAAGAAGAAGGCGGGGGCCCGCCCTCGCCCCGGCCCTGGCATTGAGTCCTTCGCTCGCTACGCGGAGAGGCCCCAAAGGGTGCCAAGGTGAAGGTGGTGGACAGGAGGCAGCGAGCTCTCGCTCTCCTTAGAGAGGGAAAGGACTATAGGCGGCTCTTTTTTACCGGGCTCCGCCAGGATGAAAGCGGATCTCCGCGGCCAGAAGAAGGCGCCAAGCACAAGGGAGAGGCATTCCGTATATGGGGCTTCGTTCCGGGGGGCCGGTTGGGGGGGGTGCTTCTTGAAGGCATGGCTCACAGCAGTCCCCGCGGCCCAAGACATAATAGCAGCGACGCAGCGCGGTTCCTGGCCATGAACGGCAGCCAGTTCACCGTTGCGAGCTGCCCTCGCTGCCCGCGGTGCCTGGCACCTCTGCACAGCTTGGCTCCCACAAGCAGGGCGGCTCCAAGCACAGCGCGATCGCGATCTCCCCTGGGCCGCAACCAAAAGTCTTCTGAGGCCGAGGTGCAGGCACCAAATCCGGGCCTCTTCCTGAAGGCGGGCTGCGACCGCTGCTGCGTGCACCCTGGCCTCTACGCACTGGCCCGGCTCTGCAGCGGCTTTCTGAAGGCCGCGACGTTTTGACTTCTGACTTTGGAGTTGAAAGAAGGGGTCGAAGCGGGGGGGGGCAGCTTCGCCAGGAGGGGATGACCGAGAGCATGCTGCAGCAGAAGCGGCGGCTGCTGGTGCAACTGAGCAGCGAAAGAGCGTCTTCAAAGTCCTCGGCAAAGACTTCAAAGACCTGAGCGTCCCACATCGGAGGCGAAGGCGGAGGCGGGCGGAGGCGGGCGGGGCCTCATCTGAAACATTCTCGAGAGAGTATGCGGTCGGGTCTCGCCAGCTCTCTTTTCAGGTTAAAGGTAGCAGCTGGATGTCGAAGATGTTGGTCGATGTCTTACTCGCAAGCATGCACAGGACGCGATCCGTTTAAGAGGCGCTAACCCCACCACCCCCTCCGGCGACTAGGAGCACAGCAACCAACAACACCTGCTGCTACTACCCCCAGACTCTCACGCACTGAAGCAGAAAACACCGGGGGAAGCCACGAAGCCAAAATGACAGGAGAAAAAAGATGAGTAAGATAACGATTCGATAAGTTCTTTTCAGCCTGCGGGCCAGGAGCAGGCGAGCAGAGTTTGGGCAGTGCCAGCTTCCAAGCTGAAGATCCCCCTCATCAGGATGCGAGGCTGGAGCCTTGCCTTATAAGGCAGCTTGAAGAAGAGGCACCCAAAATCCGGCTTCTCCAGAAATCCAAACAGGGGCTGGAATGCCGCAAAAGAATGCGCGCGGCAGTGGCCTGTCCGAAGAAGATCTGCACGCTGTCGCAGCAGAACATTCCCAGAGCCAGAGCCGGCGCGATGCAAAGCATCCAAGATGACAGTTAGGGTAGCGGGCCCATCTTTCGGCCAAGCGGCGAAAATAAGGTTCCGGATTCTAGAGTTGCAGCTTGCAGCTTGAAGGGCCCTGTCGAGTCCGTTGCAGAGCCTTGCAGAGTGCAGGCGCAGAAGAGGAACCCTGGCCGATTCAAGGCCGGAGCTTCCCGACATTGAAGATCGGGGGCTTGGTTTCGGCTTGGTTTCGGCTTTGTCGCAGAGGCTTCCAGGCCACCAAAGGGGCTCCCGGGCCGCGAAGACGGGGGACGCGCGCTCGCGCTATATGATCGATGCACCGGATCTCTGGCTGTCGCTCGTCTTTTTCTTTACACGTATGTGGCCTTATGTATACATCTCCGCGTGCACCCGTGCCCTCTGTCTTTCCTCTTGACGGGCAGAGCATGTTTGGCATGTCTCATGATTGCTGTCCTTCATCGCAGCTCCGTGCCAGTTGCAGCAGCGGAAGATGCAGCAGAAGATCAACAAAGGGAAGAGGCCTCTGCAATAGCGAATCGCCGCGAGACCACCAAATTCGGAGTCACTGCATTCGGTATGGCAGCCGGTGGAAGGAGAGGCAAGGGGGACAAGGGCGACAAGAAAGGCCGAGACCGATTCATGATGACTTGCTTCCTAAATCGTTCCCCCTTTGAGCAAAGCAGTCTCGGCAGCCGCTTGTCGCTAAGTAGGCCCCAACTCGACAGAAGGCCCAAAAGTTGTTTTATCAGAGCATTCAGCATAGAAGCCTAGTAGCGCAGAACTCTCTAGAAGCTTAGCAGCTTCTTTCGGTGCGGCGTGTGCAAACCATGCATTCTGGATCTCTTGTTTGAAGGCAAGCGCCAGCGCACAGGTGGAGCCGAGTAGACGGGACCTGGTGCCAGTCCCCCAGAGTGTTGTAGCATAGTCATTCGTGACTCATTGGTGTATGAGTTGGCTGCTCTTGGAGATGCTGTGTTGTTGGCACTCGGCGACCCGGATCGTTAATGAACGCCAAAGGCAACTTCCGTTTCACCCTACCTACGCGCCTCGCCAGCAGTGTGCGTAAACGGCGAGGTATGCAGGATGGAAAAGCTTGTCCGTGCCGGTTACTTCCCAAAGGTGTCCGCGTGGACACCACAGCCGTCCTCCAAAATATGAGACATCTTTCTGGACCTCCGTGAAAGTACAGACTTGACATGCGAAATGAAGATGCCGTCTACTTAAGGACCAGTCGTTTTCAGACAGAAAGTAACTTGAGTTTCGGCAGTGGTGGTGGGAATCGCTGGTCGAGCCTCATCTCTGTGGCTCAACTTGCCGGCAGACATGGTGGATCCAGTTCAATCCTGTCGTGTTGAGGTCTGTGGCTGCATGGATACTTCCACTTTGTCATTCTTAGACTCTGGCGAAGCACAACCCAATCAAGTGCAGCACTTTTTCCGCTGTGCCCGAGCCGAATGGAAAAGCGGACGGTATCTTTCTATGAGGTGGGTTTAGGCAGCAAAAAGGGGAACCCAGTGAAGATCTCCCTTGGCCTGATGAGGCCTTCAAGCAGGTGCTGCTCTATCGGACCGGCTTGACGCTCTCCGAGACGGAGCTCCACAAGGAGAGCCCTGAACCAACAAATCCAACAAACCTGACCCTAAAGTCCCTAAAGGTCCTAATTAGCCCGAAAGTTCAAGCGGGGCCCCCCCCCTTCACAGCGGCAGAAGGAGCTCCTGGAACATGAATTGGAGCTGGCCCTGAGGCCACTTTTTTCTGTCACTTTTTTCTGGTTGGTCTTGGGGAGGTCTTGGGGTTCGGGATTCAGCTTTTCTTTTTTTTTGGGGGGGGCGTTTAAACATGCCTTGGTTTCTCAAGCCATAGGTACATTTTGCAACAAATCTCAAGACTTGGCATCGCGGTACAACATACCGTAGCCGAATACAGAGGCTCCAGCTAAAGAAGTAGACATGCAGAAGCGCCCATATATACACTTGCAGATAAAGAATCGCAGCACACGCCGCACGCCAAACACCGGTATCACGTGTACTTTTTTGTTTCGTTTGAGCATAGATGCAGTTGCATCAATCAATCAGTCGATTTAACCCTATCCGTAATACTTATATATATATATATCTATCAGTTACATAAATATATATATATATACATATACACATGCATATGCATATGCATGTATGTGTACATCTATATGTCTATGTCTATGTCTATGTTTTTGTATATGTTTATGTATAGGTATAGGTGCAGGTATAGGTATAGGTATATGCATATGTATATGTATATGTCTATGTTGTTGTATATGTATATGTTTTTATATATGTATATGTATAAGTATAGGTATAGGTATATGTATATGTATATGTATACATACACATACAAACAAGCTAGCAAGCACATATACGAAGCTAGCTATAAATGTGTGTGTATCTATATTTATATATATATATACAAATATGAGTAAATCAACAACTAAAGATGAATTACGAATCATATGTAAACAAAACATGTATATATACATATACATATATATATATATAGAGGTACATACATACATACATACATACATACATACACACATACATACATACATACATACATACATACATACATACATACAATTTGCAACATATACACACATAGGCGCATTGTGTCTGTGTGTACGTGTATGTGTATATGCACATATGTGTATACATACGCGCGCGCACACACACACACACAGAGAGACAGATAGATAGATAGATAGATAGATAGATAGATACATAGATAGATAGATAGATAGATAGTTAGATAGACAGATAGATGGACAGATAGATAGATAGATAGATAGATAGATGAGAGTATTTTAGTATGTATGAGCAATGCATGGATGGATGGATAGATGTCCATCTATGGTATTATGACTACACTATTTGTTCTTTCCTTCGCTGTGCGTTTACCAGGCTCGGGGGCCTCGCCGGCGACACCGAGAACTCCGAGGGGCCCGTCACCGTCCTGGAGGAGGGAATGTTGTTGGATTCAGGGCTCAGGGGCTTCTCGGGCTGGGGTTCAGGGGCTTCCAGGGACAAGAGCGTGCAGCTGTCCGCGTGGGTCGGATGCATGAAGCCAAATGGCGACTGCGCTTTCCTTGTGCGAGGAGCCCACAAGCCGAGACAAGGAGCGTAGCCAAAAGCAGCTTCTTGAAGCTCTCGCAGTGCCGTGCGTGCTGCTCGTCTGACAGGACGGCAAAGGCCAAAAGGAAGGGAAGGACAAGGGCCCTTTCACAGAGAAGCCGGGCAAAGGGAAAGGCAAGGAGGGCAAGGGCGAGGGCAAAGGCGAAGGCAAAAGCCTGGAGAGCGAAAGCGGCTGGAGTTGCGATGCCGAGAAGCTGCTTCGATTGGTGAAGCGCCTGGGCCCCCGAAACCCCAACCTCTGCTCCAGTGCCTTCCTGAAATCCTTCTTCCACGACCTCCGCCTCCCCCAGCTCCGCATCAGCCAGCTCGGAGAGGTGCCGCGCCGTTTAGGGTTTAGGGCCGTTTAGGCCCTGAACTGCTTCTGCTCGCGGCTCAATCGGAAAGCTTCTGCTCGCCAAAGTGTGCGCAGGAGCTGCTGGGCTTCTCTCAGCTCACGTCCCTGGACGTTTCCCGGAACTCCCTGGCGGACCTCCCCTACCTGCCGCCGAACCTCCGCTTCCTGCGGGCCCAACCCTAAGTCTGCACTTCTTAGGGCTTCGACTGCCCTTCAGTTCCCCTAAACCCCAAACACCCCAAACTAAACCCCTAAACCCTAAAACCCTAAAGCCCTAAAGCCCTAAACCCTAAAACCCGAAATCCCTAAAACCCCTAAAACCCCAAGAACCCTAAACCCTAGCTCAGCTCCGAGGCTTACAACAACAGGCTCTCCAGGCTAAGCTGCAAGCCACTGTCTTCGCTCTGCTTCCTGGGCCTCGGCTTCAACCCGCGACGCCCCCAGAGCTCCGACGCAGAAGCTGTCGAGAAGTCCCACCCTGTAGCATCCCCCCCCTGGAGACAATGACAATACCTACCCCAGGTCCTACGTTATGCGCAAGAAGACAAGTAAGCAAATAAATCAATGACCTGACTGACTGACTGACTGACTGACTGACTGACTGACTGACTGACTGAATGAACGAATGCATGAATGAATGAATGAATGAATGAATGAATGAATGACGGAATATGCATGAATACCCAAATAGACGGATCAAAAAGCCTTTAGGTAGATAGACAGACAAGTGAGTAGGTAACCAAGTCAGAAAATGACCAATGCAACCTTGCCCACCGAACCAACTCAGAATCGTCCATCTTGGTTCCTGGTTCCTGGGGCCCTGGTGGCCAATACGGCTCGGATTCGTAGACCCCATGAACAGGGATGGAAAGTAAAAAGGATTACGCAAAGGAGTTCGCAGATTAATTAAGGCTATGTTATGGATCGAACCGGGGAGGTCCATATGAGCAGTGTGGTTGGGCAGGAAGGGGGGGGGGAGTCGAACTGTTTAGCGTCTTGGACTTGCATTGATGTTTAGAATGTAGCTTACATTGAGTCTTATATTCTATGAAATGGGACAAGAATTAGATTTCGGGGAGTTGCATGTCGGTCAAGAAGCAGGATTCTTGGATGTTGTGAACACTTTTGAGGCAAAATCTCAAGTACAGGTGGTAGCTTCACATGTTTCAAGAGCCTGAATTCAGGGGCTCGGTTGGGTTTGGATCATACAAAAACCGATATTGGGTTCTCTTCAGGGCGATTATTCAGTGTTCGAATCTGTTACAATAGGCAATGTGGTTTATTGATTGGGGATGTCGGTTTACGCAGTACGACGTGTGCTGGTAGATGTGAGCTCGTTTCATATGTCCGTGGACTTACGCGCAGAAAGGCCGACAACTGCTTGGGGCACTGGTCGGTTGTGTCGTGCTTGCAATTTACTTGCGCTGGTATCAAACGTGCAGTCTGTGGGTTATACAGTTTAGGCAACAGGGGTTGCAGGCTCACACCGTCATCCGTAGAATTCCGGGCTGGCATTAGAGAGCCATGGAAGAAATCTTCTTCATGAACTTGCATCTGTGTTATTCTGGAGGGCCATGTTCCGGTGCGGCTGCAGGGTACTTCAGGTATGGTACATGATCTTGTTTTGATGTAGTCCCTTTACTATGCGTAGGGTGAGAAATGATATATTTTCTTTCTTGTGAGTACGAGGCCTGTAAGTACTCAGAAGTATCATCCTGCTTCATGTATGAATATGCACAGGTACGCACATACACACATGCATACATGCATACATGCATATATGCATACATGCATACATGCATACATGCATACATGCATACATGCATACATGCATACATGCATACATACATACATACATACTGTAGTATATTTAA